GAATTTTTATATTCAGACCATCCTGTGTGGTTAATTTCTGTCTCTTGAGTTTGTAAGGCCTACTATGCAGCCTCCCCTGAGCTTGTCACATTTAGTGTGAGGTGTGATAAAAACATAGAGTGAATGTTTAAATTTAAAAAAATTAATTACAGTGAAAGACACATTGCCATTAATCCCCCTGAAAACACCCCCTTTGCTTCGAACACACTTGCTCCTTGCCACTTTCTGAAGCAGTTCTGGAAGTCCTATTTCATGAGTCTTTAGTTGCGCTGTCATAGCTGCCTTGATGTCCTGAATCGATTCAAAACATTTACCTTTCATGGTCATTTTGACTTTGGGGAAGAGCCAGAAGTCGCACAGTGCCGGATCTGGTGAATAAGGTAGATGAGGCCACACCGTAATGTTTTCTTTCATTTGACAGAAATTACTGTGCTAGTGATGTGTGACACAGTGCATTGTCATGATGGAGGGTGAATTACGGCACACTTTAAAACACACCTCCTCTCAACCGTAGCTCACACCCAATTGACTGCACCGAGCAAGTTGAAACTTGTCATGAAGGTTTGATGCACCGCTTCCCGTATTGAATATCCCTGCCTTTCTGTTAGATCGCACTCGGCAGCAGCATTCACCGCATTTTGTGATCACAATGAAAAGGCTCCATGTCACACATTGCTTCTGGTATGGCAATATCTGTCAAATAAAAACATTACAGTGTGTCCTTATCCACCTTATCACCGGAGCAACTTCTAGCTCTTCCCCAAAGTCAAAATGACCATGAAAGGTAAATGTTTTGAATTGATTCAGGAAAGAGGACTTGCAGCACTGCTTCAGCAAGAGGCAAGAATGATGGGATACGTGTCTTTGAAGTGAGGGGGATTATTTTGAGGGGGATTAATGGCAATATGTCTTTTACTGTAAGAATTTTTTTATTCAAACATTCACCATATTTTTTTATCACACTTCATATGTGGCCCCCTTTTGGTCCACACTCCTTTGGTTTGGTTATGGGAAACAGTCCAGAAAGTTCATGTGTAAGCGAGAAGCTGAGATGCCTGATGGTCTATGGCACCCAGCTGTTCCCTTTGAGATAATCTCAGAAGTAGCCACCTAGAATTTAGTTCAGTTTCAACATACACTCAGGAATGGAAGCAGTCTTCTGTTGGTTTTGCTTGCCTTGCAGTTGTTGTTGTTTTTTTTTAATTTGCTGAGCTGAGCCATCCTGGTACCATGTTGGCAGCTCAGCTAGGGCTGGGAATTGAACCGCTGTTGCCCAGAGCTCACAGTCTTGAGCAAGCTCTTAACCAACTGAGCCAATCGGCCGGCCCTTTGCCTTGCAGTTGTTAACTGATTAACCTTTCCTGTCTTTTCCTTCCACCCTCCAGCCAGCTGTAATTAATTTAGGACATCTCAGAATTTTCTTTTCATCACTCATTTGTGATACAAAGCTCCTAAAACTCTTGGAATTTACTAAGGGATGAGAGCAATAAAGGTGTACTTTATATGTTAATGAGGTGACTTTTGACAGTTGCCAGGAGAACCAACCAAAAGATTAGAGAGTTGGAACTTTCAGTCCCCACCACCCCACCTCTGCAGAGGGAAGTGGGGCTAGAAGTTGAATCTGTTGCCAATGGCCAATGATTTAATCAATCATGTCTATGTAATGAAGCCTCCATAAAAACCCGAAGGCTGGGGTTCAGAGAGCTTTCAGATTGATGAAAATGTGGAGATTCAGGGACAGTGGCAAGCCTGGAGAGAGCATGGAAGCCCCTTGCCTCTTCCCACATACCTTGCCCTATGCATCTCTTACATCTGGCTGTTCCTGATTTATATACTTTTATAATAAACCAGTACTCTTGTAAGTAAAATGTTTTTCTGAGTTCTGTGAGCCACTCTAGCAAATTAATCAAACTCAAAGAGGTGGTCATGGGAACCTCCGATTTGAAGCCAAGTTGGACAGAAGTTGCAGCTAACCTATGACTTGCAATTAGCCTCTGAAGTGGGGGGCAGTCTTGTGAGACTGAGCCCTTATCTTATAACCCAAGGAGGGTGTTGTTGGAACTTCCAGTCTATAGTCCATTGGTCAGAAGCACAGGTGATAGCCTGGTTTTGTAACTGGCATCTAAAGTGGTGGTGGAGGGCAGTCTTGTGGGACTGAGCCCTCACTCTGTGGAAATGATGCTATCTCTGGTTAGATAGTATCAAAATTGAGTTGAATTGTAAGACAGTCAGCTGATATTGGAGAATTGCTTGCTTGTTGGTGTGTGAACTCCCTCCTTCCCCCACCCAAACACGTTGGAGTTGGGTGCAGAATCTTACACAGTAGGCATTCGATGAATATTTGATGAACTAAGGAGTGAAAAATAGACCCTCTCCGCCTTGCTCCTAGGTTCTCTTCTATACCTTGCAGAATTGTCCCATAGACTCCATTTTGAATTTTTTTTCCAGACGTGAAAGAGGAGAGGAAAAACCAGGGAAAGGAATCCTCCTTGGGTTTCCACATTATACATTATGTTGTAGAGCACCTTCTCTCCAGCCTTTACACAGGACAGTTAATTGGTATAAATTTACATAACTGGGTCTACACTCCAACATCCCAAGAGTTACTTTATTTGTGTTTGGTGAAATCCCAGCTTTCTAGCTTTTTATTTTATATACATCATATGACCTTATTCAGTGTCTTCCCATTTGCGGCTTCCTCCTAGGAGGGGGAAATACCACATCACCTGCGGCTTATGTTTGGTGTGGGTGTGCTTGCTCTGAAGCCTTCCAATTTCTGCGGCTTTCCAAAGCCTTTTAAATATATGCAGGTTGTTTCATTTGGACTGTTCCCTAAAGTCTGTGACCTATACTTTCTGTCACTGTTTATTCCTCTTAATTAGGGGTTGATAGTTGGATTCTGCTAAGATCTCCTCTATTTACTTGCCATACCATTTACTGCTTTCTTTGGAAAAGGAGTTGAACGTCATCTCTGGTATCTTTCTTCAACCTTATATTATTCAACATTCTGTTTAGCAGAAATTTTTTAACTTTGGCGTATTTGGATCATACCTACTTACTGATGTGGATCTTTTTCTCCATGTTTTTAAGTTCCTTTGGCGTTATCAGTTGTACTTTGTTAAGAGCCTGTTATACATTGTTGCTTGGAAGTCCAAAGAGTATATAATGTAATAATTACCAGTGGGATATGTACAGAAAATTTCCATCTCCTTTGCTCTTGGAAATACGTTTCCCAAATGATTTCAGGACATAGCCAGATTGCTGAAATAAATGATCCGTGAGGCTTATATTTAGGATTTAGATGAAAGGTAAAACCTTGTGCTGACTAAAAAATGTACCTGAGATCACTTGTGGGGAAGGGGAAAGTTTCCCCTTTTTACTCTTAGTTCTCCTGGTTGGTTGAATAATTAAAATGACATTAGACAGATTGACAGGACAAAGTCAAGCTTTAATACATGTGCCAGGGAATTCACATAAGCATGAAAGTTCCAAAGACAGTAAGACAAAATGAGGTATATATGTCATTCTGTACTAAGGGAGAGGAAGTTAAGGGTTTGGGACTTCAAAGGGAAGTAAGGCAATTCACAGAGAGATGAAAAAAGTTAATGTTTAGTAAACAATTGTTTGCTAGGCCATCTTGAAACAATGAGAGGACTTTGATCAAACGGTCTTGCTGGCTTCCTCTCTGTCTATCACATCTAGTTCTTATTAAATGGTAATTATCTATGATGATAGATGGCTCCCTTCCAGGAGCAGGTCTTCTATCTAGATTCTTTTGGTCACTTAGGGGTAAGGTCATAGGTTCTCCTGAGTCTTTTGTTTCTTAAAAATAACCAGCTTAAATTAATCAATATCCCAAAGATGCACATTTTAGGGTGGCAGTGCTCCTCTTCACCCTTAAGCAGCACTCTCAGTTGGTCACCACTTAGCGTCTTTTTTTGTGGCGGTTCAATTTTTTAAAGGATTACCCAAAATATCAAGATACCACAGGGCCGGCAGAGTGGCGTGTTGGTTAAGAGTTGGCTTGGGATGCCAGCTCTGAGCAGCAGGGCCCCTGTTCGGATCCCACGTGAGGGCCAGTGATGCTGCACCCTCTGCAGCTAAAATGGTGAACAACAGCTCAACCTGGAACTGGGCTGCTGTGGGTTGCCAGCCACGGCGTAGGCTGCAGTTGGGCTGGCTGGCAGCTGACGTGAACTTTCGTGAGGGGCCAAGAGCCGCCACGAGCGGCCATACAATGGCCGGCGAGCAACTGCCTCACCCGGGAAGAGCGCAATGATAATACTAACATGAGTCAGTGAAGCAATGTCCTCCACAACTAGACTGAAGAACAAAAGGACAGCAACTTGTCTGTTCTCTTCCCTGATTCCCCAACACTGTTCCCCTCCCCCAATTCCCCAATAAAATATTTTTTTTAAAAAAAGGATACTGCAGATACCCAGTTATCATCACTGCTTGAGGGGTGTTTCAAACTAGATTTTTTTTTCCTCGTAATTTCCTAATGTTTCAAGGGAATAATTTTTAATAGGATTCAATGTCTAGTACCATAATTTCATTAGATCTTAATTATGGGATATAATCATTTATCTATTCAAACAACATTTATTGATCTCTTACTATGTGCCAGGTACCAGAGATGGATCTATATTCTGTGAGGCCTGAAACTTATTATAAATTTGTGGGACCTCTTAACAAAAAAACAAAACAAAAACAAAAAAACAAAAAAGAGAGAGAGAGAGAGGAAGAGAAGGAGGAGGAGGAGAATACACAAAACTCTAAATTCAAAATTCACTACAGACTTCTGTTTCTGGGAAGATGGAATAGAAGTGCATTTCCCCATTTCTCCTACTAAGTACAACAACAAAAAACCCCTAGATACCATGCATAAAACAAACATAAGAAGAGTCTGAATGGTGGAGAAAAGAAGGTAGACTGGCCAAGGGGCTTGGTACCCAGGAATGACTTGATGATGAGTTCTCCTTTTGCCTCATATATTCCAGAGATTGAGCTGAAGAAGCCGGCAACCTGGATATACCACGGGGTGCAGACCAAAAGGCCCCAGCAAAAGCTTGCTATCTATAGCCAGAGAAGTATGAAGACTTGAAGGTAGGGGAAGTTATTTCTAATCCTGGCTCTGCCAGTAACAAACTCTGACTGTTACCAGTTCAGTGTTTGTGTGCACTTCAAAAGGCCAATATTAAAAATGTCAAGAGTTTGGAGTATTGAAAAGTTTATTGATTGAGCGCCAGCTCAAGAACATGGAGGAGTCTTACAGCTTCCTCAAATCCATCCTAAGAGAGCTCAGAATTCAGCCTTCTTTTATGTCAAGGGAAGGGAGGAGGGTTGGGCAAGAGGTGGGTGACAACTGCAGACAGGGATCCAAGGTGTCAACAGAGATCCAAGGAAGAGCGACAAATCTCTAACTTTCTTCGTTTCCCAGTATGTTTGTTACTGGAGAGTGAGCCCTTCTGGGGAGATGCCCGGGCTTGGGTTCCACACTGGGGCTCGAATCCGGGCCTCCTGGAGGAAAACTGGGAATCCTAGCCGCTCCAGCTTGGCTCTCCCACCAGAGGTTGAACCTGGCAGGATCTGGGCTAGGTTCCCACACTGGGGGTCGAACCCGGACCTCAAGGAAAACTGGAAATCCTAGCCACTATGTTGCTGAAGAATAGGTCCTCCTCGGCGCGGTGTCCAGATTCTTGGCATCTTGAGCAAAGAATTGAATGAGATACAGAGGTAAAGTAGTGAAAGAGCAGTTTATTAGAAGAAAAAGTACATTTCAAAGAGGTAGAAGAGGGCCGGGCAGAAGGCAGTGGCTCAAGGGCCATTATTGGAAGAGAAAGTACACTTCAAAGGGTTAGGAGCGAGCCCAAGCAAAATCATGGCTCAAAAAGGCTGTGGTTCAAAGGCTCAAAGGGCTCTGACTGGCAAGGACTTGGAGTTTTTATCCTTTTTTCTCTAGAATGGGCTGTTCCTTTCTGGGCATGGGACCACTTGATTGACACCTGTGATTGACAACAGGCTATTACCTCATCTCTTTAGGCTGCGCGTGTTCTTTCCCAGAATTCAGTCTGTTATAATGATCTCAATGAACTTCTGGACATATATGTATGATATTATATGTATGACGGTATAATGAGGCCCAGGTGAAATGAAGGTCGTTGTGGCCTTTCCTGTGCAGGTGCGAGTGACTGGTCTAATCTAGTTGGGTATTTTGTACCCATTTGTTTCCTCATGGGGTAGATAATTACAATGAAAAGGGGAAGTTTTGGGTAGAGAGGGGAGGTCTTTTGGGCAGTTGCAATCTGTGGGTTGTGCAGGAATGCAGAGACCTAATGCCTGTCTCTAACTGCCTGCCTTGTTTTCCCCTTGAGAGTCGTGATCCCCATAAAATCTCTATGAGAAGTTGAGGGGCAGGAGGTCTCTTTTGTATCTGCTTCCTGCTGGGCAGGGGCGTAAATCTGTCCCTACCTATTGGGGGATTCATGGAACTCTTTCCCTATCTGATCTTAGATGAGAGGAAGGGGTCTCGAGATCCACCTGGAACACCGCATTGGCTTCTTTGGTTGGGACTGGCAGTCTTTTTGGGGTACCATCTGTATCCCAAAGGCCCCTGAATGAGGAAAGTTAGATTTTATTATGGAGTCTGTGGCCATTCAACCAGTCATTCAGGTGGTGTCAGTTGTCCAGGAGCTGAGCCCAGAACAGGTTGGAAAGAACATTAGGCTTCAGTGATTACAATCAACAAGTATAAATCACAAATTTCAGGATAAATATCTAAAGCAGGGGGTAAAAACACTCTTACGATTCAGGCTAAAAACAATCTATTGTTTATGATTAAGAAACTTATTTATAAAATAATTAAGAAGCAGGGGAATAGGAGCTAAAAAAACTGGGGAAAAGGAAACTTAAAATTCTTATAAGAAAGAAAATAAAGTTTTTCAGTAGGGGAGCTACTTGCTTGGCTTGTATCATGTTGACCCTTACTGACTGAAGTCCCGTCTTGAGGCTCCTGTAAATCTTTGATAAACAGCCATTATTTTGTACATATTTCTCCACCTCTTCGGGAGAGGCACCTTCTGGCAAGTGACTTCTTGCAAAAACTCAAGGCTCAAGAGGAATTCCTCTAGTTAATTAGCATATCTATAACAGGAGGTATTGGCCTGAAGGCCATAGGAGAAATGCCAGTGACAAATAAGATGGAGTCAAAGAGAATGAACATTTCACCCTATTACAGGACTCAGGGAACACTCTCTCCCCAGCTCTTCATTATCAGCCGTTAGCTAAGTCCGGCATTATGATACCAAGTTTAGAGAGGAAAGAAGCTGTGTTTTAAGCAAAGTTCACTTTTCACTGCTTAGAATAGAGCTAATTGGACATTGTAGAACATTTGAAATTAAAAAAACATATAAAGAAAAATCCTACCATTCAGAAGCAATCACTATCAACATTTGTAGCAGTTTTAATGTTTTTCAAAATAATGCATGTATTTTATGTATTTGAGAGCCTACTGTATATAAAATTTTGTATTTATATATTTTCCTTAATGCTAAAACATATTATAAACGTTTTGTAAACATTTTATAGTCTACATACACTCTTATCACATAAATATAACAACATTCACTTAACCATTTCATTATAAAATGTGTAGATTTTTTCCAATTAAAATCATTAAAAAATTTTCATTCATGGCAACTTTTATATTTTGCCTTTTTGTGACATTTAGATACATGTTATTTTTAGTTTACATTTCTTTGGGACATTGACTGAACTATTTGATAAGGGAAGTAAAGGGTCATTTGGAAATATGAAACCAGGCATTCTTCCTATGTTTTCACGTATGACCTTGCAATTGTCTGTAGAAGTGAGACTTTAACAAATGGCATGAATACTAAAGTACCCTAGTAGAAGTAAATATTAAAAGGAAACATATAAATTAGTGTTACCGGAGAACAGGTCTTCAGCGCGGTGTCAGGTCTCAAGCAAAGAATTGAACGAGATACCAAGGTAAAGTAGTGAAAGAGCAGTTTATTAGAAGAAAAAGTGCACTTCAAAGAAATAGACGCTCAAAGGCCCAAAGGTCCAAGGGCCAGGGCCAAGGGCTTCATTATTAGGAGGAAAAGTACACTCCAAAGAATTTGGAGCAGGCCCAGCAAAAGATGGAGCTCAAAAGGCGCTGACTGGACAGGACTTGGAGTTTTTATCTTTTTTTTTTTTTTCCTAGAATGGACTGTTCCTCTCTGGGCGTGGGACCACTTGATTGACAAGAGGCAATTACCTCATTTTTTAATTTATTTTTAATTTTATTGTATTTTTTTAAAGATTTTATTGGGGAAGGGGAACAGTGTTGCAGAATTGGGGAAGGGGATTGTTGTCCTTCAATCTTAGTTGTGGAGGGCACAGCTAATTCAGCTCTAAGTCCAGTTGCCATCTAGCTGCCCATTGGCAGCTTGTGGCTGCTTGGCTCAAGGTGTTGTGTTCAATCTTTGTTGAGGATGGGTGTAGCCCACCATCCCATGTGGGAGTTGAACCGACAACCTTGTTGTTAGGAGCACATGCTCTCACTAGCTGAGCCATCCTGCCACCTGTTGGCAGCTCAGCTTGGGCGTAGCTTATTGGCCCATGTGGGAATTGAACCAGTGACTCTGTTGCTCAGAGCTCGTGCTCTTAACCTGCTGAGCCACTCGGCCAGCCTTATCTCGTCTTTTTAGGCAGCGCATGTTCCTTCCCAGAATTCAATCTGTTATAATGATATTAATGAACTTCTGGGCATATATATGATATTATAATGATGGTATAATGAGGACCAGGTGAAATGAAGGTCATTATGGCCTTTACTATGCAGGTGTGAGTGACTGGTCTTAAATAGTTAGGTGTTTTGTACCCATTAGTTTTCTTTTAGGGGTAGATAATTACAATGAAAAAGCGGAAGTTTTGGGTGGAGAGGGGAGCTCTTTTGGGGTCGCATTCTGTGGGTTGCGTTGGACGTTCAGGAATGCAGAGACCCAATGCCTGCCTCTGACTGCCTGCCTTGTTTTCCCCTTGAGAAATGTGATCCCTATGAGAGGAAGGGGTCTTGAGATCTGCCTGGAAGACCGCATAGGCTTCTTTGGTTGGGACTGGCAGTCTTGTTGGGGTACCATCTGTATCTCCAAGGCCCCTGAATGAGGAAAAATAGATATTAATTAATAAATTTCTTAAAGAGCAGAGCTCAAAGCTGTTGATGCAGGGTGGCTACATGATGGAAAATATAGCTTCTTATGGAGCTCATGGCCATTTAACTGGTCACTCAGGTGGCATCAATTGTCCAGGAGCTGGGCCCAGAATGGGTTTGAAAAGAACATTAGGCTTCAATGATTATAATCAACAAGTATGAATCACAAATTTCAGGGCAATTATCTAAAGCAGGGGGTAGGAGATTAAAAAAACCTGGGAAAAAGGAAACTTTAAGGGAAAAGAAACTTAAAATCAAAATTGTTCAGTGTGTGTGTGGGGTGGGGAGCTACTTGCTTGGCCCATATCATTAGGACTTAGACAACTTTGGTTTGGAACAGCAATCTTGCTTGTTTTGTAAATCTTGTTTTCCAGTGTATGTGTCATAAGGCTGTAAGTGAAGCCTTCATATAATATGATTCTTCATAATTGAATAGCACTTATTGGGAAGCACTTCTACAATGGCAGAGTAAGGACTTCCAAAAATCGGCTCCTCTATAAAACAATGAGGTCATTGGCGATAATTGTCTAGCTCAACTTTTTCAGAGCTTTAGAAAGTAACCAAAGCCTTGCAACAACCCGAGGACTGTTTATTCAAGAAAAATGGCTGCATCTCAGAACAATGAGATTTGTGGTGTTTAATTTGCTCTGCTCCTATCCCTCTCTCCCTAGCCACATAGTAGCCTCAAAAACCACAGCAGTATCTCTGAAAAACAGTGGCCTAGCTGCCACTGAACAGGGCAGAGCAGGTTTGGTGCACCTGAAAAAAGGCCCATTCCCTGGGAATTTTCACTATTTGAACTGCATAGCAACTCTTCAAAAAGCTGCATCCACAGGCTTATCTGACCTGATTCATTGCTGTCAGTGAGGCCATGTGAGAAGTTTTGAAT